TTTTTTTTTTTTTTTTTTGGTACCAGGGATCGAACTTGGGACCTTGTGCTTGTGAGGCAGGTGGTGGCACCACTGAGCTAAATAAATCCCCAGCCCTTCTTGTCAGTATTCAAAAGGACTGCACAAAACTTGACAAGGAATGACTTCTTCACTTTATAACTCTATGCAAAGGCAGCTCTGTGAGCCATATGCTTACAAAACGAAAGGATCACTGGGCTTCAAGTACATCAAAACTGCTACTTGCTGGCTGATGACCTTTGGCCCCAAGTTTTTCTCAGAGTAAAATGGTATTTTCTGCTGAGTGGCTTTGGTGAAGTTCAAGTAGGAAAAAAGTATAAAAAAGGCTTTACAAATTCTGATGTGCAATGGAAACATCAGGGATTATTAAGGCAAATTTTGAGCAGTCCATCAAGAAGGCGCAAGACTCAGCCTGAAAGACTCCCAGGTCCTCCCTTCTCTCTGAACTGGGGGCTGAAGTGTGGGATGTTGCTTGGAAGGATGAAAAGGTGCTCAGGAATGCCCAGAAAAAGGAGGAACAAAGGGCATGCTGAGCACTGCTACTTACGTTGCTGAAATTTTGGTGAACTCTGGTATTTCGTCTTTTTTCTTTCTAAAGAGGAACCAGTAAGTTAGAACACCAATGATGAGAGAAAACAGAATCATGTCTGTCATGCTGAAGAGAGACACTTCTTCGGCAACTGCCTCAGCATTGGTGGCACCGGTGTCCATGTGGGAGTCCCCCATGTTGATCACAGAACTGTCAGGAGAGAGAAACGGCAGGCGTCAGCAGGGAGGAGCACAATACACCTGAAACAGGATGGGTGCCACTGGATACTGTGGCCTGGGCATCATTCCCTGTGGCTGCAGCAGCACAGAGCCCCAGACAGGAGGCATTTGTTCAGAAAGGCTTCTCCAACTGCCGGGTTGCCCCAAACCCTAAAGGGTCCGGGGATCTTCAGGCTGGCCCTGAAGGGCTCTGGGAGATAAGCTCTAGCCCCAGAACATCCAGCCTAATAGAATGTCTCTGGATCCCTGAGAACTTGGGCCTTGGAAACAGATAATGCTAGAAATGAGACACATGGTGAGCGCCTGGCTTTGAATCACCACATCCATTTGAAGTGTGCTAGAGACCAAGTAAGTAAGCCTCCAGGTCATTACACCAGACTGACCCCAATACACCCAGATTCCAAGGCTCAGGGAGCATCCCCGGTTGGCAACATAGAAACTTCTCAAATTGCTGATGATGTTGGGGTTAGTCCCGATAATCCCATCATAAATTCAAAGTATTAAGTCAGAAATGTGCTTAAAGTCAGGCATGGTGGCACACACCTGCAATCCCAGCACTCTGAGAGGCTGAGGCAGGAGGAACACAAAGTTGAGCCCAGGCCAAGAAACTTAGTGACTTAGAAAGTCCTTGTCTCTAAAAAATAAAAAAGTCGAGAGACATAGTTGAGCACAAAAGCCCTGGATTCAATCCCCAGTGTCTTAGGGGAAAAAAGTATACCTAATACAGGTAACTACTAAGCATCACAACTTAATCTAGCCCACTTCAAATGTGCCCAAAACACTTACACTAGCCTACAGTTGGGCAAAATGATCTAACACAAAGCGTACTTGAATATTTCATGTAAGTTACTGATAACCACACAGAAAATGCAATGCAGAATGGGTTGTATGGCACTGCTCTGGTACCATTGTGACAACCATACAGGTTGTCACATGTTGCTGCCAGGACAATTAAGTATTGTCCTTGTGAGTCCACTGGGAGAGGCCAACCTGAAACCCACATCTGGCCTCTCCTGGGCCCAACCTCCATGCCCTTTCCTTTGCTGACTTCAATATGCATCCTTTTGCAGTAGTAAGCCATGATCCTCAGTAAAAAGCTTCTCTGAGTTTTGCAAATCCTCGCAAGTTGCTGAGCCGGACGTGATGTTGGGCTCCTCCACTCACCGTCCTCTACCCTTGGAAGATGTTCCGTCCACCACTGAAACCAGGCAGGAAGACAGATCTTCTATGAAGCAACCAGAGGGCAGAAGGCAAAGTCCTGAAGCTGGAAGGGCACTTCCCCGCTTCCTTCCAGCCAGGCTGGGCTCAGCCCTGGAATCCAAACCATCCACATTTTGCAATCCCACTGTGACCAAGCAGACTGCTTTCACCACAACTCTATCTAACTCAGGGACCTGAGTTACATGTCAGCAACTCAGGCAGTGGGAGATGGCTTTTACTGGCCTTCTGGTGGCTTTCCTGCCTTCAGGAAACCTCAGGTCTGGCCCCAAGCAACAAGAACATCCCAGGGCTCTGGGTGTCAGTCCTGCTGTGCTACAACTTGAAGGGAACTGGCCCTCAGGCCTGGTTCTTTACTCCCTCAATAATCTTTGTTTTTAGATGCTGGAGATCAGACCCAGGGCGCCGCACATCTAGGCAAGCTCTCCACATCGAACTGCATGCACCCCTGGCCCCCAGCCCTCGTCCTTCCTGCTATCTAACCTTTAAGAACAAATTTAACTGTAGCGTCCCCAGAGAGCACTGTTTATATAAAGTACTAGATACACACTATTTATTCAGTGCTAGTCATATCTGTCTGCCCAGCACAGTCAGCATCTCAGTCAAGCCCACGCACCTTCTGCCAAGTTTTTGAAATTCAGACTGAGAGGCGTTTGGCACCTGCTCTGACAGACTCTTGAAGGACCTGTGCTGCACAACCAGGAAGTAACCGCCAGATGGGGTCCGCTCAGGATGCACGTGCGGGCCTGGAAGGCCCCAGCTGGAGTCCAGTAGCAGCCAGTGTCACATCCTGTCTCCCCACCCTCCTCCCTTCTACCTTACCAGGCAGCCTGGCCCCTTACTTCCCAGAAGAGGCGAGAGACACCCACGGAGCCAAGTCACCGTTTCTCCCGAACATGCGCTGGCTGGATGACTCTGAAGAAGAAACACTTTCCCTGCATGTGGTTTTTAAGTTGACAGAGTGCTGGGGAGCAAGGCCACTAGTGAACCTGCACCCGTCATCATGTTCTTGCCACCCTGGCCACTGCAAGAGACTCCTGACAGAGGAGCAACCAGAGGTGGCCTTTAAAAAGAAAAATCACACAATCTGATGATCACAGCCCTCAAATGGCTTCACAACACTTAATAAAAGTCTGAAGTCCTTCCACAGTGTATGGAGCCCTTTGCAGTCCTGCCCTTAGATACCCTTCTCCCTCTACCTCGAAGGTCACACTGCCCGTCTACCTCAGGGCCTTTGCACATGTTAAGGCTGCCTGAACTCTGCTCTTCCTCCTGGTATCTGCAGGGCTTGCTCCCTGACTTCATGCAGGTCTCTCCTCAGACCACCATTCTGAAGATTGCCAGCCTGCAGTATCTCAGGTAGTCCCCTGGCCGCAATCTCACCCCTCACCGGCATAGCACTTATCACTACTGGCCTTTATCACACATACTTTTATCACACTGGCTTTCTCTCTTCCTGGGGTGGGGGGGAGGGGTCAGGCTAGCAAGGAAAAGGACTTTGCTGTGCTCCAGGCTGGCATGTTTTGAGCACCTAATGTCATTATTAAACGAATGAACCCATAAATCTCCCTGATTCTAGGGTAGCTGAGTTGGCAGTGCAGGCACACAGATTTTGGAATGGTTTCACAATCTGGAAGACACAACCCAGATCCACGAAGCCAGGTCTGTGGGTCTAGATGACTCCTCTTCCCTCTCCTGTCTCTCACACGCATGCTCACTGTCTCTGCTCCTTGAGGTCAGAGTCAGCAGCAGATTCCTGCACATGGTGGAAACCGACAGGCACTGCCGCTGTGAAGGGGAAACGGAGGGGGGGCTGCAGGCTGCAAGGCTGCAGGCTTCTGAGCAGTGAAACTAGGAGGCACCCAGGTTCCCTGTGGAGGGCTTCACTGACCCATCTGGCTCCAGCTGCGTGAGCTCCCTGGGGAAGAGAAGGGCATTCTCGGCGCTTGTGTCTCGCCCAGGGTGGGAAGGACATACTAGAGGCTGGGAGAAAGGCAGTCAAGCATGGAAGTACACCCTTAACTGCTGCTTCTCACACAAGGACACGCACAGCAAGCCTGGGAGCAGAAGCCACAAACAAGACCCCAGGTCGAATCACTTAAACCACACTTGCCCACCGAAGTGCACACAAAGCCCCTCCAGGTCCTCTCCAGCCGGCTTCTCTGCAGCCCTCTGGCTGCTGTTTTCCTCTCCTTGCTCCTAACTCATTCTCCAGCCCTTCCCATTTATCTAGTGCTCAGTAACTATTCAGGGAATGAATGAAGGGAACAGATGAATATATAGTATTCTGACACGTGGAAAACAAAATTTGTGTGTGTCAACATGAAACGTTAAGAAAGCAATGTTGAAGCTGGGCATGGTGGCACATGCCTGTAATTCTAGCACTCAGGAGGCTGAGGCAGGAGGTCATGAGTTAAGGTCAGCCTGGCCTACATATGGGTTTTCCTTGTTTAATAACTTACCTTGTTAATGACTGTTTCAACTTACGACCTGTCTTTTTTTGTATAGTTTTGTACATCTTGTTTACAGAGTCTCACTTTTTTTGTACACTACACCTTGTTTATACAGTACTGTAATTTTTGCTAGTTGTACTGTTCAGTGTAGTATAGTAGTTTTTTGTTTTGTTTTACATTACAGTGCTGCATGTGAGAGTTATGCAAATAAAAGCAAAGTCATCAAGCTGGAGTTTCCTTTGGCCATTTCTTTGTCCTGAATATTGTAAAGGGCATATACTATATACAATTCCTCATTTAATAATCAATTCATTTAATGACCAAGTCGCAGGAATGGAATTCAGTCATTAAGTGACAGGTGTCCAGAGGGAGTTCCAGGCCAGCCTGAACTATATAGAGACCTCAAAAGGAAAGCCAAAGTCAAAACAAAATAAAAGCAGATTTGAGTGTGTACAATCCCCTAGGACAGAGGCTCCCAACTTTCTTGGCAAAAGTTTCACATACTCCCTAAATCAAAAGAAGTGCTGCCGGGAGTGATGGCACATACCTGTAATCCCAGCACTCGGGAGGCTGAGGCAGGAGGATCTCTGTGAGTTCGAGACCAGCCTGGGCTATATAATGAGTTCCAGGTCAGTCTCAACTACATAGTGAGACCCTGTCTCAAAAAGAAAAGAAAAGAAAAAAAAAAGAAGTGCCCAATGGTGCTGCTGTGTAGAAGAATTAGTTCCAAAGCTAATCCACGCTCCACAGACCCAGTCACCAAGAGGACTCAGCATGATCTAATGCTGAAACCTGGGACCTCCAGCTACTGCCCCCCAGGGAACTCACAGGAGCAGACTCTTGCTATGTTTGAAAACTGGGCACCCCCGCATTTGCTGCAGTGCCGAGGCGTCTAACCTGCAGCACAGTCCTGACTGATACTGTCCTGTAGGTCAGGTGTTGACAGGGTGACCATGAGACAGTCAGTCTGAGGTCCTCACAGATGTTCCAGGGAAACTGAGAGCCCTGTGCGATCCTTTTCCCAGAAGAGTACCCAGTCTGTGACTTTCTTCTTTCTACTGAAAGGAACATAGGATGGGGCAGGCTCAGGCCTAATTCAGTATTTGTCAACAAGGGAAGGAAGGAAGGAGGGAGGGAGGGAGGGAGGGAGGAAATGGAAACACAGGAAGGTAACTTCTAGACTGAACTCAGGGTATTTACACTGAGCTGCATCCCCGTCCCTTTTTACTTTTTCAGTCAAGGTCTCACTAAGTTACCCAGGCTGAGTTTGAACTTGCAATCATCCTGCCTCAGCCTCCCA